CGCCGCTGCCGCGAGAGTGATGCGGGGCCGCGCTGGCCAGGGAGGAAGAAATGGATGGAGGGAGGTGGTGCGCGTTTGCTCGCCCGCCCGCCACCCGCATTTCCCCTCTTCCTCCTCCTCTTCCTCCTGCTGCCGGGAGGGAGGGAGCCGTCGCCGCCGAGAGAGCGATGTGGGGCCGCGCAGGGAGATGGAGGAAGGGAAGCGGTGCACGCTCGCGCGCCTTCCACCCCCTCGCTTTCCCTCTTCCTCCTCCTCCTCCTTCTCCACTTTCCCTCTTCTCCTCCTCCTCCTTCTGCCGCCGCCAGGGAGGAACGCAGACAGGCAGGCAAGCAGATGGAGGGAGGGAAGCCGCTCGCATGCCCGCCACGCCCCACTTTCTCTCTTCCTCCTCCTCCTCCTTCTCCTGCCGCCGCCCACCCAAGACTCTTCCCGGCGCCGCATTTTGGGGGGGGCGTCTAATACGACCCGTCGCCATATACGGCGGCATATACAGTAAATGTTTTTGAATTGTTTTTATACCTGGTTTTTTAAAAACTGCTGTATGTTTATGTTTCTTTTTTTAAAATGTGAAGTTTATGTTGTGTCTTTAAACCTGTTGTTTTATTTGCTGTGAGCCACCTTGAGTCCCCTAATGGGGAGAAAGGAGGCATATAAATAATTTAAATATATAAATGTAGAGGACCAGCTACTGGAAGAGGGTATCATCACTCTTGATTGTAATGGAGATGGATGAAAAGCCTGCTTGTGAAGCAGGTAGGGAAGGGGTTAGGTTTTGTGGTGGGTGGTGAAAGCCAGTAGGCTTTCTTCATATATTAGGCTATGTAAAGCAAGTGTTTGCTCATGCACTCATGCCCTCTTTTTAAATGCAATGCTATTCCCAACAAATAAGATTTTGTTACGGGTGCAACAAAATTTTTATTTGAATGTATAGAGGTGCAGAATCCAGATGTAGAAAGCACTTTTTGTATGATGAGATGGTTGGGTTGTTTTGCTGTGTAACTGACAGTTGCTTAGATTAAAATGACTTTTTATTCTGTTGACTATACCACTGCAATCAGTAACAGTAGATTATAGATACAGTAGTTATGTCATATAAAGATGGCTGACAAGTGGAGTAGCTCCATTAAATCAATGTAACTTATGGAGGGGAAGGCTGACCGAATGGGTTTATACTAGTAGACTTACTATGCTAAGCCAACTAGATTTCAGCCTCTATAGGCAGATCAAAGAAATTGGACTCTATCTGGATTTGTGCTGCCCCAGCTTCCTGTACCATTTATACTACAATGGTGCCCCGCATAGCGACGTTAATCCGTTCCAGGATTAACGTCGCTATCCGGATTCTTCGCTATGCGGGGGGGGGAACCCATAGGAACTCTGTTTAATGCGCTCCTATTGGGGAAAAACTCACCGGTAAGCAGAGAATCCCCCATCCAGCTGCTATTTTCGCCACCTCGGTAAGCGAGGCACGAAAACGCTGCAGGTGGCCATTTTCCCCCAGCTGGGCGGCGCTGACTTCGGAGCGAGCGCGGTGGAGGCTTCCCTGGAGGTTGCTCCGAAGCCAGCACCGCCCAGCTGGGCGGCGCAGGCTTCAGAGTGACCTCCGGGGAAGCCTCCACCGCACTTGCTCCAAACCTTCTCCCCCCCCAGCTGGGCGGCGCAGGCTTCAGAGTGACCTCCGGGGAAGCGTCCACCGCACTTGCTCCAAACCTTCTCCCCCCCCAGCTGGGCGGCGCTGGCTTCGGAGCGACCTCCGGGGAAGCCTCCAGCGAGGTTGCTCTGAAGCCTTCTCCCCCCAGCTGGGTGGCACAGGCTTCGAAGTGACCGCTGGGGAAGCCTCCACCGCGGTCGCTCGGAAGCGCCTGCCGGTCAGCTGGGGGGAAATGGGGCCTATGGGGAAAAATTGCAAAGCGATTTTTCCCCATAGGAAACATCGCAATGCGATCGCTTTTGCGATCGCAAAATCCACATCGCTATGCGGATTCGTCAATAAACGGGGCACTCATTATACGAGGCACCACTGTATTTTGCTAACATTTCAACTACAAGCTGAGATGTTCCTGAAGCATTATAGATCAAAAGGCTTTTAGGGAATTAACAGCCAAAATGCATTAGAATGTATTTACAGGAAAGCAATATTAAACCCACCAGTCCTCGACATGTTTCAACTCATATTTAGTCAGGATTATCTTTTTACTTTCTCTTGAATGCACACCTTAAGGTAGCTATAATACTGTCAGAAGGCTAGACTGCGTTACAAGTCTGGATTCCTAACTTATTCATTCAAAGCAGAACAGCCAGAGCTGAAACACCAGAATAAAATGTATGCATTCTTCAGGAATTAACAGTCACATCCATAGAACTGACAATTGTAACATAGATTGGAAGGAAGGGAAAAAATTCTTGAAGTGAGACTACTAGGCAGGAGCAGTATACAGGAAGATGAGACTGGATGGCAACAGTGACACTCCAGCTGACTATTGCTAGCATTGTGCAAAGAAAGGCAATGGTAAACCATTACATATTTTACCCTGCAAAAAAAGAAGACGAAAAGAAACACAAACATACAGCAGTTTTTTTAAAACCAGGTATAAAAACAGTCTGAGCCTCATGGCGCAGTGGTTAAACTGCTGTACTGCAGCCAAAACTGTGCTCACGATCTGGGGTTCAATCCCAGATAGCCAGCTCAAGGTTGACTCAGCCTTCTATCATTCCGAGGTCGGTAAAATGAGTACCCAGCTTGCTGGGGGGGCAATGGGTAGCCTGCATAATTAACTTGTAAACCGCCTAGAGAGTGCTTGAAGTGCTATGAGGCGGTATATAAGCAGCACGATTTGCTTTGTTTTAAAGGATATATATACGAGGGGGTGCTGATAAGTATTGAGCCTTTCCCAGGAAAAAAAATTAAGCTAGGAAGCTGTAACTGTCATACTCTTCTACATATTTCCCGAGGAAGCCAATGCACTTGCGCCATCTGTCCTGCAGCTTCTTAAGTCCCTGCAAATAAAATTCATCCGACTGCTGGTGTAACCACTCACTTGCAGCATTAGTTGCCTCCAGAACACTCCCAAATTGTTGTCCCTTTAGGTGTTTTTTGAGTTTGGGGAACAGATAATAGTCAGAAGGAGCCAGGTCAGGAGAATAGGGTGGATGGGGCATCACTTGAAAGCCTAAGGAGGTCAGTTTTGCCATTGTTTCACCTGCAGTGTGCAACAAGGTGTTGTTATGCAATAGGATGACACCTTTGGAGAGCTTTCCTCAACGTTTTTCCTTGATGTCTTGCTTCAACTTCATCAATGAAGCACAGTAATATTTTGCTTTGATGGTTGAACCGTTGGAGGTAGTCCACGAGCAGAATGCCCTTCTTATCCCAAAAAACTGTTGCCATATGCTTCAGCACCAACCTTTGCACTTGGAACTTCTTTGGCCTGGGGGAACCACTGTGCCTCCATTCCTTAGACTGTTCCTGTCTCAGAATCATAACAGTAGATCCATGTCTCATCGCTAGTTACCAGTTTGCCCAGGAAATCTTGACTCATTTCTTGCAAAATATTCCAAAACAGCCAATAACTCCACACGTTTCTTCTTTTATTTGGTTGTCAAAAGTTTGGGGATCCACTTTGCTGCCAGCCTTCTCATTTCCAAGTCGTTGTGGATAATGGCACCAACTCTCTCACGTAATAGTCTCAGATATATAGCAATACTGATATTCGGCAGTCCTCCATGATCATGTCATGGATGGCTTTCACATTTGCAGGAACAGAGACAGAAACAGGCCTTCCACTTGGTTTCTCACTTTCAACACCAAAATGGCCAGTTTAAAAATTAACAATCCAGCGTTTAACTGTTATATATGAAGGGCCACTGTCACCCATAATTTTTGACATTTCATCATGTATCTGCTTTGCACCTTTCCCTTGGAGAAACAGGAACTTCGTTATGGTCCTATCCTCTTCCACATTGAACTTTTCTGGAGGTGCCGCCATGTTCACTTTGGACGGAAAATGAAAGTTAAAATCATAAGTAGTTGATTTTTGCACCGTTGAATATAGACAAATTGGCCAATACACCCTGCAATTTATAGCTTCCTAGCTCAATTTTTTTCTGGGTAAGGCTCAATATTTATCAGCACTCCCTCGTATATATTTGGAACTTTCCTTTTCATACTTTAAATATTTTCAGACCATGGTAAGTGAATCAGCGGATACTGATCCCACAGATAAGGAGGCCCAGCCCTACACAGAAACCTGTCCCTTACTATTGGTTTCCAAATGCTGAGCTGAGCATCTTCTCTGGTTTGACTCTCTGCTGGCCACTTACAGTTTGTAAGTTCCTTTGCTCCCTATTGAGATTGAATAGTTCAGCAGAGCCTCTACTGTTCATCCTGGATTAAGTAAAAAGCAAAGCGTGCTGCTTATATACCGCTCCATAGTGCTTCAAGCGCTCTCTGGGCAGTTTACAAGTTAATTATGCAGGCTACACATTGGCCCCCCAGCGAGCTGGGTACTCATTTTATTGACCTCGGAAGGATAGAAGGCTGAGTCAACCTTGAGCCGCTACCTGGGATTGAACCCCAGGTCATGAGCACAGTTTTGGCTGCAGTACAGCAGTTTAACCACTGCGCCATGAGGCTCCATTTACAACTATTTGTAAGTAGCTTAATAGAAACTAAGGAGAGGGCACTGATAAGGCCTAGCATCGGTGTAGAGGTTCTGTGCAATAAAGGATGCACCAACAAGGCTACACTACGCTGGCTGGGGAACCTCCAAGCTATAGATTGAGCCCAATCTTCAACTGCCTGTCTTTCCTGTAACTTTCATGCATCTTCACACCTTTATGTCCCGCACACTTTAAATGGGTACCTAAGCAGTCCCTCATGTAGGAAAGTTCAGGTAAGGAGATATAACTCAACAGCAACCAAATTTCACGTACTGATTTGAGAATATAAATAGAGCAAACTTACAATTATTGAACTGAGTTTTCTTTTTCACTGTCTGCAGATGGAAGTGTTCTACAGTTTGGTACACTTGTTAGCACTTCAAACACTTATGACAAATCGGGGATTGTGACTGTTGAAACGGACAAGCCTTTGCTTTGGACAATGGGCATAAAAGATGAAGGATCTCCTTAGAAGGCAACCAACACCTATTTCTCTTAAACAAGGTCTTAATGAGAAATTTCTTGGAAATTTGTATAACAAATGCTGAATTACATGTGATGCAGTTACAAGTCATTCACAGTACTTTTTTTCAAATTACACTTTGGCTTTTAATGAAATTTTCATCTTATCACAAGCAGGTTTTACTGAATGTCTTTATACTGTACTGATGCCATAATTTACGAGCTTTCAAAAAAAAGATTGACAATTGATATATTCTTCACTACATTGTGCATATATATATATGTGTGTGTGTCCTTTAAAACAGAGGTCCCCAACACCCAGTCCGTGGCCCGCTGCTGGACCGGGCCATGGAGACAGATCCCCCCCCCGCATGCACTCATCCCCACACAGCTGTTTTGCACATGCACGCACACTCCACCACGCCCATGTGTGCGCCACACTGCCATTCACGCATGCGCACGGGGGTGCCCTGCCTTCCCCAGCTGGTCCATGGAGTGAAAAAGATTTGGGAGCTCTGCTTTAAAGCACTGAAAACCTTATAAACAGCTGGATACTCTATATTCCATTCCAAATTGTCACTTATCACTTAACATTTTACCACTTAACTAATTTTAGGAGACATTAATTTGCAACCTGACATTCAACTGGATTATGTTCCTGGCCCAGGAAAATACCCATCTCATCAGGTGCAAGGCCAAAAGTCCCTTAGCGATTGGTTGTCTGAGAGATTTTAAATGGAGTATTGTGCCTTACTGCTTTGAATGTTTTTGGTGTTGATTTTGTTTACCACTTGTAATGTGGTATTTGTTTGATTCTTTTTTAAATATTTGCATACATTGCTTTTAGCTTTTAAATATTGTCTTTTAACAATGTAAACCACTCTGTGTCCTTTTTAAGAAGAAATATTTTAAATAAATAAATGTCCAACTCATCAGTTACAAGAACTTTACATTAACTTTTAACTGGATGCTCATATTTCACTCAGTGTGTGCTAGAACCAAATCATGCATGACAAGAGAGCACAGACGCACCACCTCAAGCATCTCTTTCAATATACAATTAGTCCTCATTGTATTCCTCCCTAGCAAAAATATCCCAGTAGTTTTGGTTCTTTACCTCTGAACAAGATGATAGGAATCCTTGTCTGTTATTATTGCTTCTATGTAGGAAGCGAACATAGGCAGTCAAAGAGCTCCTGTGCTCCCATTTAGATGAAATGGGAGACAGACAATGCTAGGAATGGGGAATGAATACCTTTCTAGATCATTATATATACCTGGTGTGTGCAACAACTCATAAATGAAGAGTGTGAGTAAGCAACACTGTTTATGATAGACTTTAGGTATGTATGTCACAGAAAACAGAGTTTTAACACAATCCACATGTCAATTTAAGGAACATTGTTGGTACAGTGGTGCCCCGCATAGCAACGATAATCCATTCCAGGAAAATCGTCACTATCCAGAATCATTGCTATACGGAATGGAACACCCCATAGGAACGCATTAAACCCCATTTAATGCGTTCCTATGGGGGGAAAACTCACCGCTATGCGGAAATCCTCCATATGGCCACCATTTTCGCCGCACCGATAAGTGAAGAAATCGTGCAAAAACGCTGTGGGCGGCCATTTCGTTTACCCGGCGGCCATTTTGGAACCGCCGATCAGCTGTTTAAAAAACATCGCAATGCGAAGATTGGTAAGCGAAACGCTTACCGATCATCGCAATACGATTTTCGCCCATTTAAAACATAGCAATGTGATCGCTTTTGCAATCGCAAAATCTGCATCACTATGCGGATTCGTCATTAAACGGCGCGCTCGCTATGCGGGGCACCACTGTATGCTTATATCCATATGCTTAAGAAGTTTGAACAATTATAATGTCTTTTTACCTAAGACACTTTGTCTTAAAAATGCCAATGCCTTAATGGTACAGACTGTTTTTTTAAACGCAGGTTTATCTAGTATCATGTTTTGCTAATTTTTGCATATAGAAAAGACGACTGAAATATCTAATCTGTTAAATATGCTTGTGTATCCGACATTACAAGAAAGAATATGGAGTTGAGAATCCTTTGAAATAATTTGTCAGTGCCACATCTTTTGCAGTAATCGAAACCAAGTTTATACACAAAGAATGTAATCTCTAGGTTGTCTTGGTTATTTCAACACGGATGCTCCCCACTATCCCTGAAGAAATGGGGTATTACATTAAGGACATTCTCTCAGAATTTACATCAAGTATAGGCAACATAATATCCTCCAGATGTTTTACAATCAATAGTCCAATGCATATGGAGGGCTCCTCTAATCTAATTTACTGAGGACAAAACTAAGAACCACAGATCAAATCAGAACATTGCCAAACCAATTTTACTTGAAAACTTAGTTTATACCAAACAGCAGTAAAAGCAAATTAGGTAAATTATTAAGACAGAAAAATGCACAATGTTCTTTTACGTCAATATGCACAATATCACGCAACAAGCCTTCCTGATGCATTCAGCCGCCCCTGCCAAAAAAAAAAAATACAATCAATGTAATAGTCTGCACTGTGATTATATCATTCTGCAATTATATTTTATCAAGTGTTTCAAAGTCATTATTCAGGAAATAGCAGATTTACCACCATTAAGATGGTTTGATTTATATACTTTAAATTTAAAAGGGGCAGCTTAAAGAAAATGTTCTCACTCAAAATTTTCCATATACAGTGGTGCCTCGCACAACGATTGCTTCATACAACGATGAATTCACACAGCGATGGGTTTTTTTGAGGAATTTCCCCCATCGTTTAACGATGTTCTCTATGGGGGAATTTCACTTAAAAATGTCCCTTTTTGCTCATTTAAAAGTGTCTTAAAATGTTTGAAACCTTTTTTAAATGCTTGGATTCCATAGTGCACCTTGTGAAACATGTGCAAACTTAATTTGGTTTTGTTCTGAGTCTTCATTAATTTTTGGTGATTTTTTTATTTTCCCCATTTAAATCAATTGAATGGATAGTTCTATGCATTTAAATAGGGAAAACAAAAAATCACCAAAAATTAAGGACGACTCAGAACAACTCCGAATTAAGTTTGCATAGGGTTCAGGAGGTGGGCTAACGATTGCAAGCATTTAAAACCTGTTCCAAACATTGTAAGGCACTTTTAAATGAGCAAAAACGGACTTCGCAAAGCCATTGAAATGTATTGAGTCGGCTTCAATACATTCCAATGGAGGAAACATTGTTTCACTCAACGATGTTTCCTATGGGGATTTTCGCTTAAGGACGGCAATCCGTTCTGGTTTTCAATGCATTCCTATGGGAAATGGTGTTTCACAGAACGATGTTTCACACAACGTTGATTTTTTTGGAACCAATTAACATCGTTGTGTGAAGCACCGCTGTATCTGCCAAATATATGGTGCAATAGATGCCCTCTTAAAACCATGTTAATTTACAAGTAAACAGAGCACTATTTACATGTTTTGAATCTCTTTCTCTTTTTGTACATAAATACCTTCCTAAACAAAACATCTTTAAAATAATCCTATATAGTGTATTTCTTATTCCCAGCACCCATTGCAGCTTGAGGTTAACAATGCATGCCTTTAAGAAGGCACCTTACACCAGATCAGACCGCTGGTCTATCTTGTCCATGATTTCAGACAGAATTTGTGCCTTGTCCTATCTAGAATACCAAAAATCAAAGCTGGTATCAATCTGGTGTCAAAACCTGTGCTCTGCTACTCTTCTGTGGCCCCTCTAAGTCAAATATAAGTTCTACTGACTCCAAGTAATTAGTACTGGATTGATGCAGAGAAGATACAGGAAAATTCATACTGCCTTCTTTTTTCAACATTGTGGCATTCAGTTTCATTCTGCTTTGGTTAATCTGCATACAGTGGTGCCTCGCATAACGAGGGCACCGTTTAACAACGAATCCGCATAGCGATCCATTTTTTGCGATAGCTAATGCGATCGCATTGCGATGTTTTGAATGGGAAAACATCACATTGCAATGATCGGTAAGCATTTCGCTTACCGATCTTCGCATTGCGATGTTTTTAGAACAGCTGATCAGCGGTTCTAAAATGGCCGCCAGGTGCCCAAAATGGCTGCCGCAAGCATTTTCGCGCGGTTTCCTCGCTTACCAAGGCGGCGAAAATGGCGGCGCTATGGAGAATCTTCGCTGAACAGTGAGTTTTCGCCCCATATGTGGGTTTTAGTTCCGTTTAGCGATGTTTCCGGATAGCGACGATTAATCCAGAACGGATTAACATCGCTATGCGAGGCACCACTGTATTTCCAAAAACATACAGCAAACAAAATGTCTACAATCAAAAGGTCAAAACAAGGGTTGATAAATAATAGAACGGAATAGTAGAGTTTGTTTTTATAAGATGAAATTACAGTAGCAGATGAAAGTATATGAATTAAATACAGGAATGTAACTCCATCTGATATAATAAAGTGTTCTACTTAGATATCTGGCTGCCGAAGCAGAGGCTGGAAGTTCAGTTTTCCACTTGGCACCCCAAAAAAGCCAGCCTTTGTGGATTTGGGCAAGTTGCACAGTCCCATGAAGCTTCCAGAAGAAAACCACTTCCAAGTACTTTCTACATGAAAAACCCTGGAAATGGTGCCAATAAGTCAGAAGTGACTGATTCAATTTAGTGCTTCACTGTAATATTAGCATACTGTAAGTTTAGCATGATTATAATGAGATTTCATTGTAACTGTTATTTTTCAAAAAAAAGATACATTTAATATTTTATTAATGGTTGCTTGAAAGTAATTTTAAAAAAATAAAACAAGTCCAAGTTCTTTCAACATCCAGATTAGATTAGTCTAAAAGCATTGTCTGAGGTGCTGTCCTGAAAAGATAGTTTGGAACCCTCAATTGGTACAGAATACTGATGCCTAGTTATTCAATACAATTAATTATTCTGGCTGTACGACAGCCATTAAAAATTTTTCTTTGCTGAAATCAAGCTTCTGATTTAAACAGAAGTCCTAAATCAGGTTTGTCCAACCTGCAGCCTGAGGGCCACATGCGGCCCAGGTTGGCTCATAATGCGGCCCGGTGCAATTTTTTATTTTTAAAGAAATTCCAAAGTTTCAAGTTACACTGCCAGCGCTTGTGGCCGGGGCACATCACAATGGTAGGGGGGGAGAGAGGGAAAGAAGGAAGGAGTAGGAGGGGAGGGGGGGCTGTGTGACTGCATTGTGCCATCCCCATCAATAGGTGGACGCCCTCCCGGCCCCATAAAGCCACCGGAGTCAAAGCTGGCAGCCTCTGCTGTCTGAGATAGCAGCTGCCGATAGGCGCGCTTGGAGTGGGGCTGCGGAGGATCGCTAGGGCTGCCCCCCCATGCGGCCCAAACCAAATTTATGTGCGTCTCAAACCAAATTTTCATCTTCTAATGTGGCCCAGGGAAGGTTAAAGGTTGGACACCCCTGTCCTAAATGATTTAGAGCTAGGGCATATCAGGGACTCTTTTCTCATGTGAATCTGATGAAAACCTTCAGTTTCCTGGAGAGTCTTTTATATGGGAGGCACACCCCTTAGGAAAGCTCATTATGCAGAAAACAAGTTAAACTCCCTCATCCTACAATCATTGCTGTAGCATTTCAGCAGACATCTATGAGATTATTAATATCTCAGAAAATCACTGTAATGTCATATATACCAACCACTGAAAGAGAATACAGTGGTGCCTCGCTTGACAATCCGTTCAAATCGGTGTTAAGCAAAATCGTCGTCAAGCGAAATTAAACCCATTGAAATGCATTGAAAACCGTTCAATGTGTTCCAGTGGGCGAAATACCTCATAGTGCAGCGAAGATCCTCCATAGGGTGGCCATTTCCCGGTGCCTGTTAAGCAAGGAATCCATCCTAAACACAGCGGGGAGCCATTTTGAGAGCTGCCGATCAGCTGTTTGAAAACCATCGTAATGCGAAGAATCGGTTCCCGAAGCAGGGAACCGATCGTCATCAAGCGAATTTTCCCAATTGAACCATCATTTTGCGATCACAATAGCGATCGCAAAAAACCATCATAAAGCGGATTTGTCGTTTAACGAGGTAATCGTTAAGTGAGGCACCACTGTATGGGTGTATGGGTGGTCAAATCAATATGGGTGGTCAAATGAAAGCATACAAAATAAATTATGGAATATTCCACACCACTTTTTTTAATTTTACTTACACAATAATATTGTTGATTGGAATATGGATCAGTTTTACGAAGAAACCAATGAATCCCATTATTGCAAAACCTATTGCTGTTGCCATGGCAATCTTCTGGAATTCTGTAATGAAAAAATATATTTCACTTGTAAAAATGCAAGAGATCAGAACATTGCAATAAGAGGTGACTTTAAAAAACAGAAGCACAGAAGTAGATTTCAAAAACCAATGCAAGTTGACATTTGTAACCAGGAATATATCTTAAACAACTGAATTACAAAGATTGATTAGTTTCAGAATCAAATCTTATTAATAGGCAGCTAGCACTCCTTGAACCAAAAATAAATGAGTGTGCATCAGATCCTTTTATGGAATGGGGAAGGAGGGCATGAGCATATAGAACTGCACCTCAGTGGTGTTGCTTTTGATGTCTACTCATTCAGAGTTAGGGTGAGTGGGCTGAGAGCCATTCAGCAACAGAAGTACAGGGCTCCTGTAACCAAAAACTGCTGGGGAAGAGAATCATATAGCAGCTGCTGAGGCCCATTTCACAATAATGCTGAACAGACTGGACAACTACTGGGGAGAAACCTACGGTGAAATGTCTTCACAACTTTAAGGCTCATTATACTGCCTTCTGAAAATTCTGATTAATGCTATGATCACAAAAATTTACACTACAGAATCTGCTGGTTTCTCTACATTCCTTCGTAAAGTTCTATTCCACTGCCTCACTGTGGTATGGAGAAAACACTGAGCTCTCAAGGGCTGGGCCAGCACAGCACAACTTTGGCAGATTCTATCAAGCCTGGAGGGCTTTCACTACTGCCCCAGAGTGACTGCATGTCTGTCTTCTTGAGAAACAGCCTATTTACTTGCAGAGAGGACTGTTGAGACACATTTGGCCACTAGGTGTTAAACTGTCTAGCAAATCTGAATACAGTGAGGGTATGCAAAGTTGCAATTGGCATCCATTTCACTGCAGACCTTCAAGGTATTCAAAACATGCCACAGATAAAGGATGGAATACTGACAACTTAATAAGTTGTTCTAATGTCACAGAGGAGCCAGGCAAAAAAGGGAAAAAGCAGAAATCAAAGGAAAGATTAATGGGCCTCAGGATAGAGATAAAAAAGAGGTTATCAAAACCATCAGCAAGGGGAGGGGGGCTACTGACTCATGCTATTTTGTTATAGAACCATACAGAGATGTGAGCGTTCCACCTTCAGTATACAGTCAACCCTCGACTTACATACCAACTTTTCTATTTACGAACGGCTCTGTTCGCAAAAAATGGCATCGACTTGCGAACGGAGCCTCCACCTACGAACGAGGGTGAGGCT